AGAAATACAAATCAAAGGAACAATATTATAGCAATTTTAGACCTCCAAATTAACAGGTATCATTTTCAATGTTTTTACTCAAGTACGAAGAAGCTGCAGTAAAAGAAGGGAATCATGACACAGCAGTGGAGATGTCAAATGCTATCACATCTCCAAAGAGAATCTGATACTTCAGGGTCCTTGTCCCTTGATTCAGTAACATGAGTACTAGCAAGCTTTCCTTGGGAAACAGTTAAAAATACAAAATATTTAGTCCAAAAATATTCATCTTATTCATAATGAAAAAACTTGAACAGCCTAAATCCCCAATGTGAGAAGAATGTACATGAAAAAACATATCCATATATCAAAATAGTTAAGTAATAATCACATTTAATAATATGTACAGTCTTTTAGTCATGTGAGGAAATATTATATAATCACAGGTTAAGACTGGAATACAGAACTACCAGAGAGAACACAATATTAACCATCTAAAAACCATAGAAGAAAAGACTAATGGAGAAATTACTTTGTTTAAATTTGTTTAAACAAAAGTTTATTTTAAATCCACATTTGGGGGGCGCCTGGGTGGCTCAGTTGGTTAAGCGACTGCCTTCGGCTCAGGTCATGATCCTGGAGTCCCGGGATCGAGTCCCGCATCGGGCTCCCTGCTCGGCAGGGAGCCTGCTTCTGCCTCTGACCCTCCCCCCTCTCATGTGTATTCTCTCTGTCTCAAATAAATAAATAAAATCTTTTAAAAAAATAAATAAATAAATAAATCCACATTTGGTACCCATCACCAGGCTAAGAGGGCATATTCTGCATGGAGCACTGGTTGTTATACGTAAACAATGAATCATGGAACACTACATCAAAAACTAATGATGTAATGTATGGTGATTAATATGACATAATAAAAAAAATTAATTACCAAAAAAAATAAATAAACCCACATTTGGATTTTCTGACTAAGTATCACTTAATAAAAAAGCAACATATCAAAATTCTCCTAAAAATTAAGAAATAAAAATTTTGTTTCAACCCATGAACTTGTCAACTTTCTCACGCAAGCTAAAAAGTGCTACCAGTGTCCCTCTCTGCCATGCATGTCAGAAATATTCACACAGAATGCATTTCTCCATGACATAATTCTTTTGAAAATAATTATTGGAAGAATTGTTTTCTACATACTGATTTTTTATCATTCTTTTGGTTTTTAATTTTGTGTGTGTACGTACTTAATTGCTTTTTAAAGGTATTGGGCATACGATTTTTAAAGTATTAAGTAATGATTTTTCAAGTAAAAGCAAGATATGTGTTTGCCAAACTAAGAAATCCAGCACATGCCCACGAGGCTTTCCTTGAGTGTGTGATAGAGAAGGCAGAAGCCACCCCAGCTAGAGAGTGAAGATCTGAAGGGATCCCGGTTACACCACTGGGTCTTAATTGGCTCAAAAGGCCCATCTGTTGCCTAGTGACAAATATATGCTAGCTATTCCTGTATCACTCAGGCCCTGCATAATTATCCTACTAAGGAAGCAAAATTATGACCCTGGAACTTCCTGAAACATGAGGAAACGTGGTTTTAAGTTTTATTCCCATAGTAAAAAATTACTTTTGAAAGGTACAGTGAAAACAATAACATCATCACCCATTATGAGTAATTTTGAGTCCTTTTTGAATTTGAACTGAACCAGAATTACTAAATTCACTAGGTAAACTGATTGTCAACTTAGGCTGTTTTTCTCAGGATGCTTCCAAATTCTCTAAGATCAGCTCTTTCAGAAAGCCCTGCTGCTGCTTTTAAAACTCTTTCTAAGATAAGATATTCCCTGAGTTGGCAAAAGTTAAAGCCTAAGAGACTTCTTCCTTGCTATCAGAGGCTACTGGATCACGGTGCCATTTATACGAACTTGGCATCACACAGTTAAACCTTGAAGCTTAGGTTGAAGCCTGGCTACACTCCAGGGCCCCACAGGCAGCCCTTGGCACAGCTCAGGTGTTGTGGGGGATGCTGTGTATGAGAAACAGGAAGCCACCAAAGAGACAGGTGTGGTTGATTACTGGGGGGGTACTCTCTATAGCTCCCTAACCCATGACTAACTGTAACCAGCTCTTCTCGCCATCAGAGGAACAGAACAGCAAAAGGGGAAGGCAGAGTGGTACCCACAGGAAAAGAAGACCTGCCTCACAGTGATGAGGTAGAGTAGAAGCAGAGGCTTATAATATAAAGTTAAATGTGCTTTATTAGAATAATAAATGGAAATAGTTGATTCCTTTCTTAGAAATACCACTTCTTTGCATTGCAGGTATAAAGTCTGAGTATTTTCAGAACGTGCCCCCTAAACCTAGAAGGAAAGAGCAGAAAATATGAGGTTAACAAGAAATAAATATCATAAGCAGAATGGAGAAAGAATAGAAATGAAGCAAAGGTCAGGGAGAAGATGCTTCCCTAATGGCTCCTGACTGAAGGAAATGAGGAGAGATTAGTAGTAATAACTCTGACAGAGCACCACAAGTTAAGCCTATAAATCGTATTTAAAATTTTCCAGAAATGTATGTGTATGTATGCACACACACACATACAAACACAATGTGCCTTTCTTTTCAACTAACTCCTTCTGCCACTCCTCCCAAGTCCTTTGGGGTAATAATAAGAGGAATATTTGAACACCGAATCACTCAACCAACATCATTCACTCCTTTGATACCAGGTCAGCCAACAACTTTACCTATAGGCTGGAGGGCACTAAGGTCTTCTACTAACTGAAAACTTCACATGGATTAGCACAGTTAAGTTACACCAGGAACATTAGCCAACTTCTTTTGTTACATCAATTTTTTTTTCTTCTCTGAAACATCTTCCAAATTCAAATAAATTACCACACAGCAAAATACTCTGAACAGTAACAGTGATCCCAGTGATCATATTTAAAATAGGATTTCACCTAAACCACCTGAATACTTCAGACCACTTATATTTTCAAACTACTGAAATTTCACACATGGCCCAGGTAATTCTGTGCCTTATTCAAGAAATCTCCTTTCCAAATTAGGACGCCCGACAAAAAAATAAAATTTACCAACACAAAGAAAACCAAAGATTTTCCTGAAAACTTCATTGTCTTTCTACCCAAGGGCTCTCATTTCATACCTCCAAACACTGAGTGGATTCTCGTAATCACTATGGTCCAAATATATACATATACATATGTACACACACACACACACACACACACAATCCTCCCTCAACTCTACACTTTTTTTTTAGTGTGCCCAAAATACATTTTATTTTATTTTATTTTTTTAAAGATTTTATTTATTTATTTGACAGAGAGAGACACAGCTAGAGAAGGACCATGAGCAGGGGGAGTGGGAGAGGGAGAAGCAGGCTTCCCGCGGAGCAGGGAGCTCGATGCGGGGCTCGATCCCAGGACCCTGGGATCATGACCTGAGCTGAAGGCAGATGCTTAACGAATGAGCCACCCAGGCGCCCCCAAAATACATTTTAAATGTAGACATTAGGTTTTGTTTTTAGTGATGCAGTTTTATAACTCTTAAACGGTACCGTGTTGACATGATCAGCTCCTCATTAAAGGGTACAATTTTTTAAGTCTACGAAATAAATACAATTGTATTGGTAAAACCCAGATTTTCTGCTTCATGAATACACAACCAAAAACAACTCTTCTAAATATATGGGAGAAATTTAAGGTTTGCTTTTTGTTTTGCTTTTGTATTGAATCCAAACCACTGTAAGTAATAATTATAGTGGTTACCCCTCATGAAGTGCTGAGGGAAACCAAATTTTATCTGCCTTTAAAATGGATCTCAGTTAACTCTATTCATCACAGATAAAGAGGATAAAAATCGGCTTAAGTCTGTAGAAACAATACTTTCACATGATGCTAATTATGTCAAAGCAACCTAATGTCTTTTAAAAGTAAAAAATAAAAAATGTATACAGTCTATTCTTCAAAAAAAATTAAGTCGAAAAAACCCCAAGAATCTCTAAAGTTTCTTCTGTATAATTGCTAAAATCTGCTCAATTTTTCCATTCCAATGAATTACAAAATCAAAGAGAATGGAATAAAATAATCCTTAAGTATTTCTGATTTGTGTAAAAACAATGAACAATTATTTAAAATTCAATTCCAAAATGTTTATTAAACCTCTAAGAAAGCACCAATCATTTAACCCCTCAGTTTCCCAAGATCTAAATATTCTAACAGCCCTAACACATTACTAATGTTTACATTCATCCTTTAATATCTCTGTTAGGTAGAAATTTGCCTATCTGAATTTTAGTCATTTACATTGTGGGGAAAATGTCTCATCATCCCATTAAAAAAGTTTTTTTAAAACACAGTTCCTTGACATCAGTCACTGAAACCCATGTATCTGTTTTTGTTTTTTGTTTTCTTTGCACATTTCTTATTAAAGTATTCTATTATATTTATGGCAGACAATCGCTCAAAGAGAATTATAAGAAGTCTAGGCCTGATAAGTCTGAACCACTATTTTCTAGTAGGCAATATTATTAACTTGCACTAAGTTCTTAACAATTTTTGTAAAATAACCGATCTCATGTTATTTATGGATCTGTAAGCAACTAACACTTTCTCTAAGGTAGTGGAGGCAGGAAGGATTGAAGACCATGGGAACGGTAAATTACAACTCCTACTTGCCGTTGGTAAGTGAAAACCGCGTAGTACTCCAAAGCTACAGGTCTTTAATTCACAAAAGATTGGGATAATTGTTACTTTAAACTGTCAGCTTATTTCATCTTCTTAATTCTGGTGCATAACCCAGAAAAATATAATTACATGAACTTTTAAAAAGAAATTAAGCCTGTAATAAGTAATTGAAACTATGCCATCAATATTGATAAGCCTTCTTTACTAGAAATGGTTTTTTGTGTGTTTTGGGGGATTTTTTTGCTCAGAATTTCGGCTACCAAAATACTTCAGAATAAACATGATTTACTCACATCCATAAGTAAGATATAAATCGCTTACCTCAGTCAAGTGCGGTGTAGGGTTAAATCCACAGAGATTACACACTTGATTCTTGCATTCAGTGCAAGTACTGAAGTTAGGAGGATCCTGAGAACCTACGTTGAGTTCAGTTTTGCAGAGAGGACAGGTCGATTCTGGTTTGGGGGTTTTCTCCAACTTGGGGGGAATGACAGCCTTCTGAGGCTCCGCTGCTGAAGCTTTGCTATCCTTAACAGGCAGGGGCTTCTTTTCTGTTTCTGTTCTTTTTACGGTTGGAACTCCTTCAGCTTTGGGCTCTAATTTTTCAGCCCCTGGAGCTTTTGTTTCTTTTTTCACAGGGATAACCTTTGCAGGTGCTGCTGGCACCTGACCTGTGGATTTGGGTGGCCCCTGAGGAGGTGGCTGTGGCGGAGGAGGGCCTTGTTTCGTTGGGGCCCCAGGCCCACTCTGAGACTGAGACCCAGGCTGGCCTGCTGTGGAGATTAAATTTGATGCCTGGCTGAAGATCGATGCTCCAAACCCAAAGAGTTTTCCAGTCACAGTTTCTTGAGGCGTCGTGGGCTGTGATTTGGGGGCATCAGTAATACTTCCCAGATTCAGACTGAAGCGTCTTGACTGCTCCTGAGGCTTTGGGGGCTGCTGAGATGTGGGGGCAGTTTGGCCAGTGGTAGGTCGTGGGCCTGGGGGTGGAGGTGACCCCTTTGGCATCGGCTTGGCATCTGGCTTAGGAGTCATTTTGGTTTGTGCTTTCTTGGGTTCTTCCCTCTTTTGAACTGGATCAACTTGCTTTTGACCTTTGCTCTCTGAACTAGGCCCAGGATGTGAAATAATTTTTGAATCTGATGCAGGTCGGGGTATGACTTTAGAATCGACGGGGGTGACTTTTTCTCCTGTTGGTGGAAAACTCTGTGAGGGTTTGGCAGCATCTGTTTTCAGAGGAGGGGCTGTTCTCTCTTGATCCTCTGACTGTACTTTGGAGCTTGGAATATCAGGTTTTGCTGCTATCGACAATGAAGACACAATGTCTGTGGCTGGTTTCACCGTCTTGGGTTGCTTTGGTTTGTCCTCAGCCATGGGGACCTTGGCCTGCTCAGACGGGACCGAAGGCTCTTTGGGAGGGGCAGGCTTGGATGAGGACTCGGCCACAGGAGGCTGCTTGGCTGCCAGTGGGGGAGATCCGTGAATGGTTGGTTGTTTCACTAGTGGTGGGGGCTTCTTAGACTCGGGGGCCTTTGAGATATCCTGTTTGGGTACAGTATCCTTCTTTGGAGAAGTCAGCTGTGGCTGTGGGGATGGTTTACTCACTGCGGATGCAGGAGTAACGGGGGCAGTCTTCGGTTTGGGCTGAGGGGATGATGGGACTGGAGCCAGATCACCTCCTAGAGCTCTCTTCATCTGACAGTTTAAACAGAGCCACTCTTTTATCTAGAAATAATATGAAATAATGGTCAGAGACAGTAACAATGTAAAGACACAAAAACGTAATTTTAAAAAGGCATGGTACCATTTGAAGCTAATTGGCTCCTCATTTGAAACATAATAGATTCCAAATTATTTTACTTAATTTATATTAAAATATTATAATGTTAATTACACTGAAATATAATTAATGAACCTCAGAGAATTAAGCACTCTATATTTTAAGGAAAATTAAAAAATAAACATAAAGTTGTATTTTTTCCTAATGTTATTTTTTTTTTTAAAGATGTATTTATTTGAGAGAGAGGGAGAGTGAGAGAGCACAAGCAGGGGGAGCAGCAGAGGGAGAGGGAAAAGCAGACTCCCTACTGAGCAGGGAGCCCAAAGTGGGGCTTGATCTCAGGACCCTGAGATCATGACCTGAGCCTAAGGCAGCCACTTAACCAACTGAGCCACCCAGGCGTCCCTAATTTTGTTATTCTTTGCCCCTGATTTACTGAAAGTTTGTACCCTTAGAAATAGGAAACACTGTTTCATAAAACGATGAATTATAACATATTAGATTCCACAAATTACTTACATTAGATATTTTCTCTATTGATGGCTCATATACAATTTTTAGTTACACAATCCAGTGTATGCCTGTCAAATTATTAACACATTGCTAATTTCTTAAATTAGCAGAGCATTACTTTCCCCTCTGAGGCAACATAATCAAATGTGTGAAAACAAAAACTGTCAACCACAATGGGTTAGAAAGAGAACATTCTCTGTTAAGAAAATAAGGAAAAAAACAATGGCATCTCTTCAAATTATCATAAATAATAGCATGGTTTAACAAAGGAAATATTTTTTCCTCATAATTTTATGAATATACTAGAAAGAGCAGTATAAGTAAGCGATACACTTATGCAACTGGGGAGATATGTACAGATGTGAGATATACATCACATCTATAAACACAGGTACAGGAGTAAGTGCATCTGCTCATTTCATATTGCATCAATTATAAAAAGGAGATGCTGAATTTGATACTTATTTAGAACATAATTTAAAAGTACCTTTGTTTAGCATAAGTCAATCAAAGACAATTATCATATGGTTAACTGTCCATATAATATGGACAACTGTCCATTTGATATGTGGAATAGGAATCCACAAGAATAGCACAGAGGATCATAGGGGAAAGGAGGGAAAACTGAATGGGAAGAAATCAGATAAGGAGACAAACCATGAGAGACTCGACCCTGGGAAACAAACTGAGGGTTGTAGAAAGGGAGATGGGTAGGAGGATGGGATAACTGGGTGATGGGCATTAAGGAGGGCACATGATGGGATGAGCACTTGAACACTACATCAAAAACTAATGATGTACCATATGTTGGCTAACTGAATTTAAATAAAAAAATATAAAAATAAATAATAAAAAATAAATAAAAATACCTATGTTTAACATTTATCTTTTTCAATTCCAAAATAATATATGATTATACAAAATTTTAAATATTTCCGAAGTAATTTAGAACGTCAAATTCTATATGATGCAATCTTCTCCACCCAAAATAACCAATGTTACCAGTTTAGCCCTGAGGTTCTAGGTACAGAAGTCTAACGGTGAAAAACTAAATATGTGGAACAGAGGTACCAGAAAAGTTTTCCACAGTACAAAAGTATGAAGTGTTAGGCTGGCAAAAAACATGCTCCTTATTTGCAAACAATTTCCTTTTGAAAAGAAATCGAAATAACCTTTCCTAAACTCTTAAAAACTTTTGTCATTTAATAGGTTATACTGGTAAGCTTTTTTAGTAAGAAACTTTATTGAACTATTTTCTTAATCATTAAAATGGTTTTAAAGTAAAAAAGCACACTGAATCATTTAAATTCATGCACTGGTATAAAAGGGCTTATTTTGCAAACTCATGGAAAGCAAACTTTTGTTTAGAGAAGGTTAAAGAGACTGTCAACTCTAACATGTTATATTTCTGTTTAAAAATGTGAAAAAAGTAAAATTAAAACATTTGTTAAAAATGGGTGGAAAGTACTTGGGTGTTCATTACATTTGCTTTCCGTATGGGGGTTGAGTATCTATGTACTTGTAATATTTTTATCTTGACTTTTCTGTATGTTTGAAGCATTTCCCAAAATAACTTTTTATACACATAAATATTTGAATCCCAAAACATAAGCAATTGCTACTTATGCTGGTACCCTGACAAAAGGTGAGCTAAAATGTAAGAAAACTTTCACTCCACTTTACCCCTTCTTGATGGACAGAAACTCCTCCATAAATACACTTTTACCTACTCAACCATCTCCCCTACTGCCAATGTCACTTCAGCTGTTCTACTGTTCATTTTTTCTCATTTGTCTTTTTCCACAGCCTTAAATGATACCACATCACCTCATAATCATACGGACAAAAAATATATATATAATTAAAAGCATTATTTTTTACCTATGCTTTGTCACTGATTTTTTTTTCCTGTAAAACATTATGAGATGTGCATCTACATTAACCACATTAAATTATAAACTCCTAGGGTTAGTGACTTACATTATATAGTTAATTGCTCTTAATCTTTTTGACGAGTGTTATAACCAAAGCAGATGCAAAATTCATTCACCTATTCCTTTTTAATTTTTTTTTTTGTTTTTAAGTAAGCTCCACACCCAATATGGGGCTTGAACTCACAACTCAAGATCAAGTCTCATGTTCCACCGACTGAGCCAGCCAGGCACCCCCGTTTCATTTCTTTTCTTTCTTTTTTTTTTTTTTTTTTTAAGATTTAATTATTTGAGAGAGAGAAAGAACATGGAGGGGAGGGGCAGAGGAAGAGCGAGAGAGAGAATCTCAACCAGACACTCCGCTGAGCACAGAGCCGGATGTAGAACTCAATCTCATGACTCTAAGATCATGACCTGAGCCGAAATCAAGAGTCTGACTCTTAACCGACTGAGCCACCCAGGTACCCGAGCCACCTATTCATTTCTTATTCAAGTATTTATTGAGCAACTTCTACTTGGCACATAGCACTGAATAAAAGAGACAAAAATCTCCATCCTCCTGGAGACTACGTTATAGTAGAAAAGTCAGATAAGAAACAAGTTAACATATAACTTGAAGATAATTATAGATATGTAATAAGTATCTGATGATACTGTGATGACTACTTTTTTTCCTTTCTTCCTGCTTGGAAACTTCCTCCCACCCTCCCCACTGAACACTTTCCTGGATTCATTTGGTTTTATCAGTAAAACTGTAAGTTTCTCTGCAACATGAACTTTGGAGCTTCACGTGTAGCTAGCAGGTAGGCTCTTGTTCCACTTTGAAACTACTGTAAAATGAGAACACTACCAGATCATATCAAATGCATAATTAACACTAATACTGGGAAATACATTCTATATTGCCCTTATTCCAAAATCAAATATCCTCTTGTACTTTATAAATGTATAGGACTCTTGTTTCCACATAAAGACACAAGGGAGAGTTGGGAAGAGAGGTAGAAAACCCAAGTCACTGCCTCTTCATAGAGGAGAATTCTGCTTTTCTCTTAATACACCGTTTTTTTTAACAGACTCCACTGCCCCATCTTTTGTCCTTTTAATGACCACCTTTTCTTCATTTTGATAAACAACACATAAAAGAAATTTTGACCCCTCAATGTTCCTCCTCACTGTTAGAATACGGGTTAAAATCATTGTAGTGATCACAATATGAAAAGCTTTTTATCCTCTTAGGATTTTTTTTTTTTTAGAAAGAGCCCCCTTTTATATTTAATTCTACTGGCCAAATCCATTGAAACTAGAAATAATTTTTATCTCAGCGCTTAACAATCTAACACTGGGGGCACCTGGGTGGCTCAGTCATCAAGCGACTGCCTTCGGCTCGGGTCATGATCCCAGAGTCCTGGGATCAAGCCCTATATTGGGCTCCTGCTCAGCTGGAAGCCTATTTCTCCCTCTCCCACTCCCCCTGCTTGTGTTGCCTCTCTCGCTGTCTCTCTCTCTGTCAAATAAAATAAAAATAAAATCTTAAAAAAAAAAAAACAATCTAGTACTGAAAACAGAAGCATTTCCAATTCCCTGATTCAACTGAAAAACAAAAACAAAAGCAAACTTCCCACACACTGAGAAAATGAAAAAGTCCACAAGCCGCCCCAGCATCAGGAACCACCTTGTCTCCCACAAAGCAAGCAGGGAGAGTAACAAGTGGTAACAGCGCCTTTGCCCTCTCAGTCATCCGAGTTAGAAATGCTGTGGTATCTTCACTGCATTCCCAATTATTCAAGTATGTCTGCACTGCTTGTGAAAGGTTATTTTCCGTTCATCTTTTCACATTTCCAAAGCCCATGTCCCTCACTTGGCCTCTGTCACTGTCCAGATACTTTACAACCTCACAAAAAGATCCCCCTTGTAAAACCACCAACCACAGAAGGGGCTAACTCTAACTACTTCCCCTCACACCTCAATGCCTCTCCCAGAATTGTGAAATGAATTTAATCTTTTGCAACGACTTCAAAATATATCATTTTGAAATATAAAATGCTAGTACTTATATCATCCTTCTATTTTTGGGTCTATATCCCCCAAAAGACAGTAAGCAACAAATGGGAAGGACTTCCTGGTAGTAGTCTTTCCACTGACGCTCTGGGGTCTAACGAACGCTTTAAGCATGACAGATGCCCACAGTTTTTGAGCTGGTTTGAATTAAATAAATTAACTTAAAATGTTTGTGCTCTTCAAACTACAGTTTTCCTGTGTTTACTCTAATTCCCATTGTTTACACAGTTTGTAGGACATGCTGCTGCCTTCATTTTCTGGTTGCATGCCATGGACAACCTATCGCCATTTTGGGTCAAACCCAGAGAGTCCCTTACCTGCTAACCATACATATTTTCCCCACCTTGAGGCAATAACTGCCTTGTTTCACTTCCAAAATTAAACTTATTTCTAAGTCTGAGCAGAAATGAACTTGAATTTATTAGCATCACTGCCTCAGACAC